CCTCTTTTGAGAGAGGAATGTAATGTAAACCACCGAATTAAGTTGGTCCGGCCTTACTAATATAAATACTCCAATAATTGAATAATTAGTACAGCTAATCAGAAGTGGTGGGGAAATTATTAATCCGTTATTTTTACGATAGGGAGCTTGAATCAACACACAGCAACAAATAGCTCAGATTGTAAGCATTAAATTTATTACAAATGCAAAGGGTACAATGCAATATATCGAAAGGTACTAATGAACTAACAAAAGAACTAACAAAAAGATCTTCCTTCTATTATCGGTCGATGACCATCTATTAACCTATAATTAGTAAGAAAGGCAATTATGTAATTTTATAGTAATCACTATTACTAATAAAAGTACAGTATTGTCGCAGATCACGGTGAAAGTTGGATCATGCTGAAATGAAAAATGTGTCTATGAAAATTGTTAAATTTTAAAATTAGAACCCTTTTCCCTAACCCTTTTCCCTAACCCTTTAGGGTTCTGGACCCTAGCCTAAAAAAAGTACTATATATATTTTACGGCATTAGACCCAATGTTCGAAAAAACACTCTTTTTCTTAATAATAATTCGGGTCGAAATTTTAATAATCCTGGCCTGAATTTTCAACATGATCCGTTTTTCACCATGATACGCGACAAGTATTATACAAGAAAAATGTGACAATAACATCTATGAGGAAATTTTTCGTAACACTATTAACATCATGTCCGGATCCGGTTATTAAGTTTGGGTATTTAACTAGTTCGGAATAGCTAGGGTTCGGAATACACAAGTTTAGTTAGAGGGAATCGTCTGTCGTGATCTGCATTAAAAAGGCTTCTATGTACTAAAGCTACTATTTACATTATTGTTATAAAAAAATAACTTTTTATGTGTAGGAATTAATAGTCTTCTGATTCGTTTCAAAAACGAATATTATAGAGAATTTAAATTTATTTTACTGTAATTTTATCAACTACTCTGAAAATTACAACCGTTTATTTTGGTACTGCATCTTGAAAAAGCCGAATGGATTCAACGGGTAATTCTTTATTTACTGACATTTAGTATCTATTATGTTTAATGTATTGTTTGTCCTCTATTTAGAACATTATCTAGAATTTGCCACGCAACTAGCTCAACAATGTGGGCAAATAATTCTTGAAGCATCAAAAACAAAGTATGCTACTGGTAATAAAATATTTGAAAAGTCTGGTCAACAAACCGATTTAGTCACTGAAACCGATATAAAAGTTGAAGAATTCATCAAATCAAAGCTGAAAGAAAAATTTCCGGATCATATGTAAACAGTTTATATATATTATCGTGCATTATTACCTTATTTAACCTTTAAACGTACAATTAAGTTGATACTTAAAGGTTTATCGGGGAAGAGTCAAAAGCCGCCGGAAATCATCATGAATTAACAGATAAACCAACATGGATTGTTGATCCAATAGGTGAGATTATATCGTCTAACTAGAATTTAATCGTATATAATAACTAATGCAAATTTAATGATTTAGATGGAACAACTAATTTTATTCATGGGTAAAATATAGAATTGTTCTCTCTCATTTATGCAATAAAAATTAAATTTATTTTATTTCATTATAGCTTTCCTTTTGTTGCTGTCTCAATTGGACTAACTATCAATAAGGAACCCGTTGTTGGTGTTGTATTTAACCCATTCCTCAATGAAGTGAGTAATATAATTTATTATAAATGTTTATAGGTAATATAAAGAAACCAGCATGCCACTATTTGACATGTTATCATGGCATACTGGTATGCCATGCCTAAAATTTTAAACTCTATTAGGCATGCTATTATTAGTAAATTTATACAGTATTGGATAGCATAAGACATCTACTCGATACATATAGAGTACCAATTTTGATGCTTATATAATAAATCCTGATTGGTTAATTTAGCATATATCTTTTATTAAACGCCAATTTTGTAAATCATTAGAAACTTTAACTCTTAATAACTCTTTTAAAACAAAAAAAATAACAAAATCCTCTGACATAAATGTAATTTAACTAAAAATCTATCGATTGATTGGAGGATTTTTTTATTTAACTTGTTTTGAAAAAGTTATAATGATTTAAGGTTTTTATTAATAAAAAGTGGATGCGTTTGTTGTCCGGTACTGTATTAAATTTGATCGATCCAAAAGTGACATTATTATATACAATATATATATGGAATGACAATGACATGCCTATGGCATGAATTTTGGATTAATAGCATGCCACACGGCATACCAAATTTTTAGCCATATCAGTCACCCTATGGCAATTGCTTATTTTTATATTTCTTAAAAATAAAGCTATTCACTGCTCGTAAAGGTCATGGCGCATTTTTAAATCATACAACTAGACTTCCATTATCCTATCCATCTCCTCCTCCCGTGTTGCCATCTAGTCTTTCTCAATGTTTGGTATCTTACGATTATGCTGGTGCAAATAGATCGGACTCAGTCCTTAGTAAAAAGATTAATTCACTGCATAATTTGTTAAGATCACCTGGAGAAGTTTCTTGGAGTTCCAAAAAAGCTGGATCGGTACGCGGCGTTAGATGTTTATGTAGTGCTGCTATTAGTATATGTTATTTGGCCAAAGGTTGTTTGGATTTCCATTTTGCAAAATGTTGGGAATGGTTTGTAAATTATTTTCATTGCTATCAAACTACAGTAACATCTTTTTTTTTTTTTTTTATATTTTCTATAATCTTTATAATTTATAGGGATGTGGCGGCAGCTCTTGTTATTCTTGTTGAATCAGGGGGTATGATGGTTAATGGTCACGGGTTCAATGAAGGTCCAGTAGACATTTGTGGTCGCAAATACTTAAGTATTAGAGGTGGTTCGCCATGTGAGGGTGATGAAAATTCTAAACAAAGTCAATTACGCCTTATTAGAGAAATGTTGGATGTTATTGAAGAAATTGATTAACCAAGATTTTAATATTATTCAACACATACGTCATACAAATTATATCTTTTAATTAGACCATATAAAGTTAATTTTTTGGTTCTCATAACATAAAATTTGAAAAATGACCCGGCAACCCGGCTTTTAATTTTATTTTTCCAAAAATTTTATATATAAAAAAGCATATAAAAATTTTTATAGACTTCTAAAAAACTTTACCCGGATAGTAAATACAGTCAAAAATTTTTTTAAGAATTTTGCAAATTTGACCCGGCCGGGTTATGAGAACCAATTTATTAAGTTTGTACGGCCTTATTTATAAATAAACAAAATCGTAATTAAATAAAAGCTTAAAATTAGTTACTAAATTTATTTTAAATATGTTTTATAACAAAAGATTATATAAGTAATACCTGAAGCCACTGGAATCTCATTGGAACTCAACTGAAGTTTCTAAAAAAAAACATTAATAACTCAAAATTTTATTATGATCTTCTTTTAACACTTAAGTAAAACGTTTAGAAATTTAATTTTATATATATTTTATTATTGTTTTAATATAACTTTTCAAATTAAAAATTGTGAAATTGATGAGACAAGGCCAAGGCTCAGGACAGTCAAATGTACACACTGGTTTGAAGTACTACGATTTAAATTTATTTATAAATATACAAATTAATGCTTATTTTATTTTTGTAATTAGATTATTAAATAATTATTTAAATATATATAATTTATCAAGAATAATTGAATATATTATTAAAATTTAAAATTACTTAATGTTAATGCAATTTTATTTGAAAATTTATTAGTTTACACATTGTGTTTATACACGGAAATAAATAATTGAATTACATATTCATGTTACTAATTGTCAAGGTGTTTCTCAACTTCGGGGTTTTCTCAATTGAATCTTACTAGAGAGACTCGCTTTGCCTAACAGTGAGGACTAGAGTATCATTCCAGATACTACCACCTAAATACCACGTACAATGTGATATGTAAACACACAGTATATAGTTTAGACGTTTCTTAATTACTAAAGTCTATTCTATTCTAGTCGTTCCCTCTTTCGACTACTAAAGACCATTATTCTATTTATATTACATGATGATCGATCATGCAACGCGTAAGTTACACGAACCCGATCCTGATCCCGTGCTACTAAACACGTGTCAACCAAATCTACCATGTCATGAGCTAGACCACCAGGACTTCGTCCCGAAGTCTTACCCTTGTAAAACAAATTACCTAACACAAAATAACCCAATTACAACTTCTAAACATACATAAATTATTATTTTACAGTAACACTCAAGTGTCCACATAATTTGACCTCAAGCAATCCATTATTGACTGTTATAATTATTCTCGACCCAACATTATTTTTACATCTATTCTTCCGAGTTTTCATACATCAAGATGACTTCCAAACACCACATTCACCAATCCATCACATCTAATTATATGATCCAAATACAATTATTTAGGAATTCAATCCTTTCACCATTACACAACGTAGCATGACTCCAATTTACCTTTTGATCCTCAATTATCATAACACCATACCTTTTGATCAATTGGCAGTTTGTATTGCATAACTATGCAAAGTCTTTTCTATGATCATTCAATGTCATTACACCATTCAATGTTCACATTCCAATTCCATGCTGATAACAATATCCTACATTATTCATTTTACTATCATCAGGATCTCTATTATCTTTGTTAGCAGATCTTTGATAATAATTGAACACTTTATGTTCATTCTTTTTGACATCAATTCCATTTTCATAATAATGTCTAACAACATATGATTTTTCATCATTGTTCGATTTAGCAGGTTTTTGATAATTAACGAACACCTTAAGTTCATCCTTTTCATCACAAGTTCTCTTTTTGTAACTGCATTCAAGATTATTGATTTTATCAAAAACTCCTATTTCTTCAGATTTTTGATAATTAATGAATGTTTTACATTTGTTTTTTTCAACATCAATTCTATTTTGATCAAGATTATACATTTTATTAACATGTCCTATTTCAGCTGATTTATGATAATAATTGAATTCCTTATTTTTATTATTTTTACTTCTCACGATTTCACTTTTTATTTTGTTTTTCAATTTATTCATTACATATTTATCTACAATGTTTTTATTAAAATCAGTCATGTTACTCTCATCATTAGACACCATGGGTATGTACTCCATTTTCATTTCATTCACTTGATTCGATTCATCAAAATCTATACATCTAATATTCACTAAACAGTTTCATCAACATCATCAAATTCACAACTTTGGCCTTTTGGGTCTTCATTATTCACTATACGAATATCAGGCACATATTCTTTTTCAGGTTCTTTTCGACAGATATTCTTCTTATTTATCAAGCTAATATTTCTATTATCTATTCTTATAAAATTAACATTATTATCACCATTTTTTATCGATTCATATCTATACCTAAATGCTGCAAACCATGGCATTCCAAGAACCACATCAATAGGTAAGTTTTTCATTATATGAAAATTTTGAACAAACTTCTTACTAATGATGCCTGACGAAACTATTTGGCGCTGACGAAATGGTTTCGTCAATGGTTTCGTCTGACGAAACTTGACGA